GGAAATGTCAGGTTGTGCCGGCCCACTCTTGAGGTACTTTCAGGGCACAGCAAACATCTCTATTTATTTTGGGTCACTGCCACCTCCGGAATGTGCTAGCTTATACTTACTTGGCTAATTATCTTGGCTGTTTCATTCCCACCCTCATCCATTACTGTAAGAAACATTTACTGATCACCTAGTAACACTAGTTAATGTAGGCAGACCTTGGAGATGTTGCAGGTTCAGCCCCAGACCCCCGCAATAAAACGAACATCACAATGAAGCAAGTCACACGAAGTTTTCTGTTTCCCAGTACGTATCAAACTTATGGTTACACTATACTGTGGTCTATTAAGTGTGCAGTAGTATTCTGTGTAAACAACAGTGTATATACCTTAGTTAAAAACTACTTTAGGGACTTCCCTGGCGGTCCAGTAATTTATACCCCACACCTCTAAACCAGGGGGCACGGGTTTGAGCCTTGGTCGGGGAAGTAAGATCCCACAGGTGGCGTGGCCAAAAAGAAAAAAGAACTACTTTATAGCCAAAAAAATGCTCACCATCATCTGAGCCTTTGGCAAGTCGTAATCTTTTTGCAATAGTAACGTCAAAGATCACTGATCACAGATCACCGTAACAAATAGTGAAAAAGTTTGAAATACTGCAGGAATTACCAAAATGTGACACAGAGACCCAAAGTGAGCAAATGCTGTTGGGAAGATGGCACCAATAGACTTGCTTGATGAAAGTTGCCACAAACCTTTAATTTGTAAAAAACACAATATCTTTGATGTGCACTGAAACGAGGTATGCCTGTAATCTTCAAGAGCTGAAGTGCCATTCCCATTTTATTTTAACTCAGTGAATCTTCACAAAGCTGGTTTCAACCCCATTTTACAGATAAGGAAACCAAGGCAGGATTTCTTGTTGGGTGACCTTGGGAGGTTAAGGAAGTGGCAGAGGGAGGATTTGAATGTGGTCTGACCCAGCGGAACATGTCACAGTCTCTGATGTCCAGGAACTCACAGTCTTTGTGGTGGAGACAGACGCACACACGGTCAGAACATAGTGTGATCAGTGGTGACAAAGGGAAGCTCCAGAGGAAGGCATCTCAGAAGGAATTCTGGAGGTGGTGACTTCTCCACTTACTTGTAACAAAAAAGAGGTGGGGGGCTTCCCGGGTGGCGCAGTGGTTGAGAGTCCGCCTGCTGATGCAGGGGACACGGGTTCGTGCCCTGGTCCGGGAAGATCCCACATGCCGTGGAGCGGCTGGGCCCATGAGCCATGGCCGCTGAGCCTGTGCATCCGGAGCCTGTGCTCCGCAACGGGAGAGGCCACGACAGTGAGAGGCCCAC